GTCCTCCGTCACTGAAGCAAGCAAGCCTCATGTTAGTTTCAAGCTGCCTGGCTGCCGGCCACCATCTTGGCTGGCAGTTAATTTGCATATCTCGCTGATTAGCCAATGGGAAAGGTAGTGGTTGTATGCCAATTACCATGTTTCTCTTTTATTAGATAGGATACACACACACACACTTGTAACTGAGATTTTTCTCTGGTTGTCTTTAAATGTTATAACTCAAATATTTTTTGGTTCTAGCTATCCATTTAGATTGACCTTTTTTAATTGAAGGTTTTTGTAATATGATCTTCATTGCAGCCCTATTTTGCCCTTTAAATGGAATTTATGCTCAGTGTCTTAGCTTCTCTTTAATGCATACTGCTTCCTTATATTTACTCTTTTTTTTTAACAATTAACTTTTTAGAGCAATTTTAGGTTCACAATAAAATGGAGAAGAAGGTACAGAGATTTCCCATATGCCTCTTGCCCCCACATAAATCATACCCTCCCCAATTAGCAACCTCCTCCTTCAAAATGGTCTATTTATTACATTTGATGAGCCTACATCAACATGTTCTTATCACCCAAAGTACACTCTTGGTGTTATACATTCTATCGGTTTGGACAAATGTATAATGGCTTGTATCCACCATTTATAATATCAGGCCCTAAAAGTCCTCTGTGCTCCACCTAGTCCTTTCTCCTCTCCCTGCCCACACCCCCACAGCTCCTGATCTTTTTACTGTCTTCATAGTTTAACCTTTGCCAGAATGTTATATGGTTGGAATTATTAACAGTATATAGCCTTTCAGACTAGCTTCTTTCACTTAGTGATATGCATTTAAGTTTCCTCCATGTTTTTTCATAGCTTGATGGCTCATTTCTTTTTAGTACTGAATAATATTCCATTGTCTGGTTGTAGCACAGTTTATTTATCCATTCATCTACTGAAGGACATTTTAGTTGCTTCCCAGCTTTGGCAGTTATGAATAGAGCTATTATAAATATCCATGTGCAGGTTTTTGTGTGGATATAAGTATTCAACTTCTTTGGATAAATACCAAGGCGCATAATTTGTAGATTGTATGGTAAGAGTATGTTAAGAGTATGTTCAGTATTGTAAGAAAATATTGAATTGTCTTCCAAAGTGGCTCTACTATTTTGTATTTCACCAGCAATTCAGCATTTGATGTGCTCTGGATTTTGGCTATGCTAATAGGTGTGGAGTGGTATTTCATTTTTGTTTTAATTTGCATTTCTCTGATGGCATATGAGATGGAGCATCTTTTCATAGGCTTATTTAGCATATGTATATCTTCTTTGGTAAGGTCTCTGTTAAGGTCTTTGGTGCATGTCTTAGTATATGTTCATTTGCCATATGTATATATTTCTTTTTTTTTGAGAGAGAGAGAGAAGAAGGGGGGCTAAGAGAGAAAGAGAGAGAAACATCAATTTGAGAAACATCAATCAGTTGCCTCCTGCACAACCCCTACTTGGGGTCGAATCAGCCACCTTTTGGTGTATAGACAACACTCCAGCCAACTGAGCCACACCAACCAGGACTCTTTTTCTCTTTTTTTGTTTTGTTTTTAATATGTTTTTATTGATTTCAGAGAGGAAGGAAGGAGAGAGTGATAGAAACATCAACGATGAATCATTAATCGGCTGCCTCCTGCATGCCCCACACTGGGGATCGAGGCTGCAACTCAGGCATGTGCCCTGACCTGGAATTGAACTATGACCTCCTGGTTCATAGATTGATGCTCAACCACTGAGCAATGCTGGGTGGGCTCTTTTTCTTTTTTTATGTATCTTCTTTGGTGAGGTATCTGTGAAGGTCTTTGGTTCATTTTTTAATTGCATTGTTTGTTTTCTTATTGTTGTGTTTTGAGAGTTCTCATATTTTGGATAACAGTTCTTTATCCGATATGCCTTTTGTAATTATTTTCTCCTACTCTGTTGCTTGTCTTTTTATTATCTTGACAGTATCTTTTGTAGAGCAGAAATTTTTAATTTTAATTGAAGTCCAGCTTATCACTTCTTTTTTTCATGGATCATGTCTTTGGTGTCAGATCTAAGAAGTCATCTAGTTTTTCTGCTTTGTTATCTTCTAGTATTTTTATATTTTTGCATTTTACATTTAGATCAGTAATTCATTTTGGGTTACTAGTATTTTTGTGAAAAGTGTAAGGTCTGTGTTCAGATTCATTTTTTGTATATAGATGTCCAGTTGTTCTAGTCCCATTTGTTGAAAAGACTTCCTTTTCTCCATTGTATTTGTTGCCTTTGCTCCTTTGTCAGAGATCAGTTGATTATATTCACACTAGAGGCCTGGTGCATGAATTCATGCACTAGTGGTGTACCTTGGCTTGGCCTGCAGATTCAGGCTGAAACCAGCCCTCTGACATCCCCCGAGGGGTCCCAGATTGCAAGAGGGCGCAGGCCAGGTCAAGGAACCCCACCGGTGCATGATTGGAGCTGGGAGGTACCGTGGGAGGGCTCCAAGGCGTGTCTGGCCCATCTTGCTCAGTCCCAATTGGCCAGACCCCAGCAGCAAGCTAACCTACCAGTCGGAGCATCTGTCCCCTGGTGGTTAGTGCACATTATAGCAATTGGTCAACCTGTCGACTGTCTGCCCCCTAGTGGTCAGTGCACATCATTGTGAGTGGTTGAGCAGCCTTAGCATATCATTAACATATTATGCTTTGATTGGTTGAACAGCCGACCAAACAACTGGACACTTAGCATATTAGGCTTTTATTATATAGGATGGGTCTACTTCTGTGACTTTCTATTCTATTCTACTTACCTATTTGTTCTTTCTCCAATAATTACACTATCTTGAGTATTACAGCTTTATAGTAAGACTTGAAGTCAGGTAATGTTAGTTCTTCAACTTTGTTCTTCTCCTTCAATATTGTGTTAACTAATCTGGGTATTTGCCTTGCCATAAAAACATTAGAATACATTTATTGACATCCACAAAATAATTTGCTGTGATTGTGGTTGGATTGCATTGAATCTATAGATCAAGTTGAGATGAACTGCATCTTAACAATATTGAGTCTTCCTGTTGATAAACATGGAATATCACCTCATTTATTTAGTTCTTTGTAAACTTACTCTCATTTAATCCATTTTGTAGTCTTCATAAGGCAGTTTTTCTCAGTCACTTCAGAAGTATGTTACAGTTTTCTTGTTCTCTTGGATTCATTTGCTTTTATATTTGTTCCTTTTTATATTTGGCTAAGAGCTTTTTTCTCCCCATTTTTAATATCATGATGCTCAGCCAAATGTGATTTCTGTTATTGAATAGCAAAATTATTCCTCAAGTTAAATTAAACAATCTGTATACATAGTTTACATCCATACTGTAATATAACTACTTTCTCAGAAATTAGGGCAAAAAGTTTTACTAACCATATAAGGGAAATACAAGAGCTTCTATAATCTCTGCCCTCGAAGACCTTGTGGTCTATTTAAGAAATCAGAATTAAATATGAAAAGTAACACATTTAGATAATAATTCTCGTATTAAGTCATAGAAGAGGACATGATTAATATATATTAATTGTACATACTTTGCAATTTAGAGAAGGGAGTGATTAGACAGGGAAGTGATTAGAGAAGGTTAGACAGGGAAATCTTTATCGGGCTCATAGAATTTGAACTTAGTTCTAAAATATTAGTAAATTTTGGGTAGAGATATTAATCCAGATTTTTTGTGGATGACTTTCATAGTAATTTATCCCTTAATTTTTTCTTTAAAAAAATCTTTATATTTTCTAGCCAATGTAATTACAGTAAACACTTGAAAGTGTTTGGCATATCAGTTACCTTCACTTTTCTATTTCTGTGTGTTTGTCACAGGCACCCTGATTTTCAGCTGCTACAGGAGGGACAAAGGTATGGTTGAATCAGTATCACTTACCTTCTATATATTCATGTTAATAGAAACATTAAGAGTAAACCAGGTGGTATGAGCTCTTGGACTTCCTGTACGGATGCATTATGTTAGAGCCCATTCGAGCCCATTCTAGCCCACACAAAGAAATATTTGCCTTGTACAGCTTTTTCTTTTCTGATGGTAAGATGATGTGTTTGCTCTGTATGATTTATTGTACAGCTCTTTCTACCAAGAAAGTCTAATTGAACCTGTTGAAATATGACTCAAACACAGCTTCCATCTGAGATAATATGCTGCTTTGTCAACTAGATTGTGCCAATTAACATTTGTTGAAAGGTTTTTATAGTCTTATTTTATAGAATTTCAAAACATTAATGTATCTGTTATTTACAGCATTAATAGAGGTTCCAAGTTGTGATTTTTTTTCTAAAATCCCCTTATGATGTTGCTTTCCCAGCCTTAATCATCTCTCAAAACATGTCCTTTTATCTCGAGAATAAATTCTCCTGGTTATTAGTCACTACCTTAGATACATGGACTTGAGCCATAAGTGAGAGACACTGACTTATTGATGTGTTTCTTTAATTTATAGCTCAAAGTAGTACAGAAAAACATAATAACTTCAAATTCCAGGGGAGAGTCTGAAATATATGAAAGTTTAATTGTTCTATTTTTTAAAAAATTATACTTATAAGAGACAAGTCCCTGATGATATAGTATAGATTCTAACTAAAAAATTATATCTACTACTGAATAAACTTGTCATCTTTTCTCCATTTCCAATCACAACCTTACCTTCAACTCTGTTTTTCTTCTTTTACTCCCCATCCCCACATGGTTTTATTAAACTGCTTCATTCTCTTCATTTTTAAAAATCATTTCTAAAAATGTAATAGCCTTTTGGAGGAGCAGTTTTAGGTTTACAGAAAAATTGCACAGAAAGTAGAGTTCCCATACACACTACCCTGTACATGCTTCTTGACCCAGAATCCTCCTCATTTGGATCTTTAAAGTTCTTATCGTTGCATTTGCTTAAGAGTAACTGTTCAACATCCTTCTTTACCTCAAGGTTGTATAGACAAAGCTAATCTTTGCCTTCATTCTTTCATAATTCTTAATTTTTTTTTAAATCTGAAAATTGAATAAATATAGTCAAAAGGAAAACTGTTGTTTTTTATTGTTAGCATTATGTTGTAATTCTAGAGTTTAAAATATAAATATCTTTCATTGATAAATGTTGATTTTCCAACTTGATTTTTTTATTGTGACTGACTTCCTTGTGTTTTTCATTCTTTGGAACTTTCTGTAGTTAGAACTAGAGTTGGAAAATGTTTAAACATCTCTGTTTATATTTATACTAGAGGCCCAGTGCATGAATTCGTGCATGGGTGGGGTCCAGCCGGCCCTGCCCCAATCAGGGCAGACTGGGCCTGGGCCTGTTGGGAGGAGGAGATGGTGGGAAGTTGACCGGCCAGCCCGCCCCCATCAGGGCTGGGCTGGCTTGGGGGAGGGGCCTCGGATGATAGGCTGGTGGACCCTGCCCCCAATTGGGGTTGGGGGCAGGGCCGGCCATTGGGGGCTCATGGGGGGGTCAGCCAGGGGGAGGGGCTGCAGGAGGTTGGCCAGCCAGCCCCGGCCCCTATTAGGATGTGGGGTGCAATCAGGGGCAGGGCAGCTGGGGGAAAAGGGGGGATGTTTGGCCAGCCAGCCCACGCGTTTGGTCATGGTGGGAGAGTCTGATCAGGGGCAGGCCGGCTGGGGGGAGGGGCTGCAGGAGGTTGTCCAGCTGGCCCCACCCCCGGATCGGGCTGGTTCACCCGCCACGGTGGGCGTCATAGCAACTGGTTGTTCCAGTCGTTATGGCTTTATGGTCACTAGCTTTTTGTTTATATAGATCTTTCAAAGCCTAAACAAAGCTCCCTATAATGTGTGTGTGTGTGTGTGTGTACTGTATCTACACTAATAAAAGACAAAAACGATAATTGGCATACGACGATACCCTTTTCATTGGCTAATCAGGGCTGTATGCAAATTAACTGCCAACTAAGATTGGCAGTTAACTGCCAACAAGATGGCGGTTAACTGCCAACAAGATGGCGGTTAATTTGCATATGTAGGCACAATGCAGGGAGGCGAAAGGGAAAGCAGGAAGAAGCCC